GCCAGCGGACACAGATATGTCTTCTAAAACGAAGCCAGGACGAGGCGAACATCGGGTAGCGATAAATCGAGAATCTCCGAGATCCGTCGGTTCTGGAGGATGTCTCGGGCGCCGCAGCCTTCTCAGAGCGCTCCGCGACGCTCTGGGAGCGTTCCGTGGCGCTCCGGAACGGATCAGCCCTCGTCCTGGCCCTGTCCGACTTGCCGCCCCCCCCCCGCCCCCCAGGGCCCGGAAACGTCCACTCCCACCGCCTGCCGAGGCGCTCAGAGATCGATTCCCCAGGCGGCGGCTGTGGACAAAAGCCCCCGCCTCGGCTCTCAGGGGCCCGCGGCCATGCGGCTCCCGTGGGCCGAGGAAAAGGCGGCACGGCGGGCCCCCCCTTTTGCCCGGCTGAAGCACGACGGCGTGAGCCAAGATGGCTGCGGAGGGAGGGGCCGGCGGCGAGCGAGGCTATGTTGCATCCTCGGGTGGCCCTGTCCGTCCCGCTGCGGCCCTGTCCGCATCGAATCCGTGTTGTCGGGCTCGGCGGGGCGTTTCAGAAGCCCTCGCGCCTTCCGAGAAAAAATGGTGCCTCCGGGGAAGGCGTACAAAACTGTAGGGGGCTTCTCACTTCCACCTCGGGGCTCGCCACCGAGAGGAGGGGCAGGATCACGAGCGGCGAACGCATCCGCGCCCGCGCCCTCGCGGTCTGGAACCTGGAGCGCGACCCCGCGCACGCGCAGTCGCGCGGCGGAAAGGAGGGTGGGGAGGAGGATCGCGAGCGACGAACGCGTCCGCGCCCTCGCGGTCTGGAACCTGGAGCGCGACCCCGCGCATGCGCGGCGGAACGGAGGGGGAGGGGGAGGATCACGAGCGGCGACCGCGTCCGCATCCGCGCCCTCGCGGACTGGAACCTTGAGCGCGACCCCACAGATGCGCGGTCGCGCGGCGGAAACGAGGGAGAGGAGGATCGCGAGCAGCGAACGCGTCCGCGCCCGCGCCCTCGCGGCGAACGCGTTCGCATCCGCGCTCTCGCAGTCTGGAACCTGGAGGGCGGCCCCGCGGACACGCGGCCGCGCGGGCACGCTCCGCGCGGGGCGCCCTCGACAAAAACGCTCTGCATGTGCGCGGGGCCGCGGCCCAGGGTATCCCGGCCTGCGGGGACGGATGAGCTTGCTGTCGCCCGCGAGGGGAGGAGGAGGCTGGTTTTCCTGAAGGGGCTCAGGGGCACACAACTCTAAATAGATAACAAATCCAAGGATTCCACAGATTGTCCCATATTTTCATGGTTTTCGTCCTCCCCCCCGCTTCCGATATTTTCCCATATCTTCCTGGGAGCCGACGGTTCATTGTGTCTGTGGTTTTTCCCCTCCTGATTTCCTCACGCAGCGACACGCAGCGACACGACAGCACGTAAGCGCGGCAGCAGCAGAGCCCAACAAACGCCACGCATGGGGCGTAGAGCTCCCGAAGCCCTCGGCGACATCCGGGCGTCTAATCGACGCCAGGGTGCCAGTCTTATTGTCCAGGTGAACCGGGCGCGCCCCCAGTCAGGTGTTCCTTCTTCGCAATGCAGTGCAGTTCTGGAGAGAGCAGCATGCAATGCAACGCGACTCATTGCTCGCACATAGTTGCTTGGCGTCGCTTGAACTCGTTGATTGGCATTGCTATTGCTTGGCATTGCTTGGCGTTGCTTGGTGCTGCTTGGCGTCGCTTGGCATGGGCTTGGCGTTGCTTGGCATTGCTTCGCATTGCCTGCGTTGCGTGGTGTCGTTTGGCGATGCTTCGATTCGTTACTTGGCACTGCTTGGCGCTGCTTGGCGTTGCTTGGGATGGTTGGCTGGAAGTGTTGCTTGGCCCTGCGCCGAGGAGCCCAAGGTAATGTCGAGGGGCGCCTCTGACGAAGGAACCCCGAGGAGCCCCGAGAAACGCCGAGGGACCCAAGGCCATGCAGCCAGGAGCCAAGACCAATAAACCCAAGCAGTGTAGCCAGGAACAAGGGCTAAGGAACCCGAGCAACGCAACAAAGAGCCCAAACCCAAAAGCCCGAACAAGCCCGAATTCCGCATCGGAATCCGGGCGTCGCACCCACCGCGCCCTTCCAAAAACGAACAGGAACCCCCACTAGGGAAAGCCTAGTCGGGAAACTTCTGAAATCTGAGTTAACGCGCTGCATGCAGCATTGTGATAGTACCCAGAGATCCGATGTCGCCTTTTTGTTCCAAATGAGGTCACTGGAATGTCTCGACCCATTCCCCGGGACCGGTCTCTCATCCTGATTTGTTGTTTCACGGTCCTGGGGCCCAGCGAGGGCCCGTCGAGGCCGAAACATACGAAAAACCTCCGTCTTGATTGTTGTCAATACGTCGGATCTCTGGGTATGGCGGTGGGGCGAAGAGGCTGGGAGGAACACAGGAGGCAGAGTACAAGATAGGGGCGCGCAACTCGTGCAAACGTACACGACCCCAGACTTCACCGGAGACACCCGCAAGAAGTCCCACACGAGCGCAAGAATGGAAAGAGCCCGGGCGTGCGTACACTTCAAAGGGCCCAGCGAGCAGCACTCGTACCAGTTCCCCCTCATGGGCAGGAGCGGAAACGGAGGAGGCGAAGGACAGGGGGGGGGGGGAGACAGAGGAGAATGCGAAGGAAAGTTCGCACCAACCTGGCTCCCCGAGCCTTCGAGCCCGCCGCGCACATCAAGCATCATCGGAGCAGGGCGAGCTGAGACACCGGCAGAGCAACATCGGTCCCCAAAGCCCTCCCGGGGTCCGAACGCACCTGCTTCCGGAGCTGCGCGTCCAACCGTGGCGACGAGGAGCCCTCCCGAGGGCGAAGTACTGTGGTCTCAACTCGTCCTCCTACCCCGAGGCAGTCGAGCGTCAGTGCCCAGCGCAGGGCCGACGGAAGGTGCAGACGTGCTGGGCGGCACGGCTGGCAGCGGCCAGGCCCGCCGTGGCCGCGCAGCTGTCGGGTGGCACCGCGGGGCTGCACCCTGCCCGCGGGCTTCCGAGGGAGGAGGACGAGGCGGGGGAAGGAGGAGGATAGGGGGAGAAGGAGCAGGGGAGGGGGTACGTCGTGGCGTGGCCGAAGTCGATCATGTACGCATCGCTGGAGGGCGCCCCTGTGGACGGAGCTGGGCTGGGCCGGGCTGGACGCTGGGCTGGGCTTGACATTGTGCCGATAAGAAAATGTGGGCTTGAGGCGAGGGGGGGGGTCGTGTTCATGAAGAGGCACTCGTACGCTGGAGTACCACCTCGAAGCACTTCGCGCCCACACGACGCAGCACTTGGCCAAGTTATTGGGCTTGACGTCTCTATGGATGAAGCCCATTGCGTGGATGTGGGAGGAGGAAGAAGACCGAGGGGATGAGAACGAGGGGGAAGGGAGAACGAGAAGAGGAGAACGATGGGAGGAGGGGAGCAGAACGAGGGGGAGAACGAGGAGACCGAGGGGAGGAGAACGAGGGGAAGGAGGAGGATAGGGGGAGAAGGAGCAGGGAAGGGAAAGGAGGAAGAAGACCGAAGGTAGAGGATCAGGGCCTCTGGGCGTCTTCTGCCCCTCCTGCCAGACCTCTGGTGGCCTGCACAGGCCTCCCAGAGAACAGCGGGAGGAGAGCCGGGGCGCGAGCTAGGAAAAGGGGGAGGCGGACGGGAGGAGCGGAGGGGGGGGGGAGAGAGGAGGGAGGGGTGAGCAGGAGGGGGGGATGGGGAGTAATCAGGATGGGGGGTAGGAGCAGGACGGGGGAGGGGGGCCAGAACAGAAGGCGCAGGAGGCGGAGAAGGAGGAGGAAGAGGAGGAGAAGGAGGAGGAGGCAGTAAAGGATTCAGGAGGAGGAAGAGAAAGAGGACAAGGAGGAGGAGAGGGAGGAGGAGGAGGAGGAGGAGGAGGAGGAGGAGGAGGAGGAGGAACCGGGGCAGGAAGATCGTGTCAAGGAGGGGGGGGAGGAGGGGAATAAGGAGCACGAGAAGGTTGGGAACAGGAGGGCGATGAGAAAGATGGGGAAGTGGATGGGGCAAAGGAGGGAGGGAGAAGGGGCGGAGAGTGAGGACATGGAAAAGGAGGGTGAAGTAAGGAAGGATGGTGAACGAAAGAGGAAAGGGGAGGAGGGAGAGGGGAGGATGGGGAGGTGGAGAAGGTCAAGGGGAAGCTGGAAAGGGGGATGGCATCCCCAGTTGAGTCACTCCTGCAACGAGGGGGGCGAAGAGGACGATATCCTGGATGGTCATGAGGAGGAGGGTGGGTGTGGGGGAGGAGAGACAGGACCAAGATGAAGAGGCGGATTAAGAATGGCCGACAAGGAAGACCACAATGACCCGATTAGACGTCGCGGGCAGATAATTTGAACGACGATCCTCCTCCTCCTCCTCCTCCTCCTCCTCCTCCTCCCGCCCGGTTTTCGTCGTCGTCGCCGTCGTCCTCCTCCTCCTCCTCACCCCCTCCCGCTCCTTGAACTTCTGCCGCCTCCTCTGGCCCCTCCTCCCCCTGTTTCCTACCGCCTGTCCCTCCTCCTTGTCCTCTTCCTTTTCCTCCTCCTGAATCCTTTCCTGCCTCCTCCTCCTCCTCTTCCTCCTCCTCCTCCTCCAGCCTCATCCTCATCCTCCTCCAGAGCTCTCCTCCTCCTCCTCCTCCTTCCCCTCCTCCTCCTCCTCCTCCTCCTCCTGTTCCTCCTCCTCCTCCTCATCATACATTTCTTTTTCCTGATACATAACTTCTCCCTGTCGCACCCCGAGGCCAATGTATGGGGCGGTCCGAGCGTTTCGCCTGAGACTTCCTCACTAGTTATGACCTTGAAGCTTGGCAGTTGGCAACAATTTCACAAATGGAGGGCGGGTGGTTTGCAGAATGTGGCTCTCGCCTCAGCGCCGTGCGCTCATTTTTAACAAATTGCAGGGGCTTCACGGATTGGGGGCGGTTCCGTTGCAAAATGTAGCTCCCGCTTTAGCGCCGCGCAGATTCGTCTTACACATTGGCAAGAATTTAACATTTTGAGAGCAACTCCTTTCCAAAATGTGGCTCTC